AACAATAAAAGAGTTGGTTTGGACTTTCCGGCACACAACAACAGAAGGCACGATCAGGGCAGTACCAATCTCACAAATGAACTTCAATCTCAAAATCTTAAGTAGGTTAAGAAAAAAAAAGAAAAAAAATTCATCAATCACTTCAGAAAGCGTAAGTTAAAACAATATTTATTCACATTTTAAAAGTCCTAGGAAAACGGAAAAATAATCTTCCTTAATCTGGTACAGTAGTCTATTTTTTTTAAAAAAACCCTCATATTTAAAAGCTAATTGTAAATATCTAGAAGGAACACAAGGCAAAAATTCCATTTTATTTCAACAGTAAATGGAGTCTCTAATCAGAAAAAAAAAATAAAACAAAAGAGGTAGGAAGGAGGAAGGATGATTAAGGAGAGGGGGAAATTGCCAATGTCTACAGCTATTACTGCTTGAAAAGACTTTGAAACTTCTAGTTAAGAATTCACCAGAGTAGTTTGCTACAAGATCAATGGGGGGGGGGGGATAAAACAAAAACATCAAAGACAACACACAACTTAAATCTAACCATAGAGATGCAAGGAGTATATAGAATTAGAGTAGTTCATAGAAACACAAGACAAGCAGAAAGATCTAATGCTCTATTTATAAGTGCTGTTGAGTTGGTACTACTACAGGCCCCTCATAGAACACCACAATACACAGTCCTGTGTCAGCTTCACAATTATGTTTGAGGCCATTGTTGCAGTCACCATATCAATCCACTTCACTGAAGGCCTACTTGTTTTTTCATGAATCCAAACATGTCCTTCTGCCAGGGACAGGTCCTTCCTAACAATATAAGCAAAGTGCATGAGACAAAGTCTCATCATTCTCCCTTCTAAGGAACACTGTGTGATTATTTTTTTTTCTCTTAAACAGATTTATTGATTCTTTTGGCAATCCATGGAATATTTCACATTCTTCACTGACCACACTTCAAAGACATCAATTCCTACTCAATCTTCCTCATTCATGTCCAGTTTTTACACACACTGAAAAGATCATAGCTTGAGTCAAGATCATGCAGCTGAGATCTTCAACGGAATGTTGCTACTGTTGCTGTGTACTATCAAGTCAGAACCAACTCACAGCTGACCACCCCCACCCCCTACCCCGTGGGTTGTCAAGAGGCAGGAAATCGCACAGGAGATTGCCCATCTTTCTCCAGAGAAGCAGCTAGGGGATTCAAACTGTATAACTTTAGGCTGGCAGCACAACTCCTTACCACTAAGCCACCAGGGGTGACCAGAGGCCATCTAATTTATTGACTACTGCTTCCCTGAGTGCTGAAACAAGAAAGAAATCCTGGAGACTTTAATCTTTCCTGTTTAGCATGATGTCACTTGATTCAGTGGTGAAGATTTTTGTTTTATGTTGAGGTACAATCTAAATTAAAAGCTGCAGTCTTTGGTCTTCATCAGTAAGTGCTTCAAGTCATCTTTGCTTTCAGCAAGCAAGACTGTGTCATCTGCATACTGTAGGTTAAAAAGCCTTCCTCCAAGTCAGAGGCTGTGCTCTTCATATAATTCAACATTTCAGTTTACTTGCTACTTAAAAAGTATGGTAAAAAGAGAATAGTTTGATTTGCAAATTCTCAGCTTTTAAACCCTGCAGTACTTCTATGTTTGGATCTAGAAACTACCATATGGTCAATGTACAAGTTCTGCATGAAAATAATCAAGTGTCCTGTATTTGCACTGCTACACATAATTTCTTATGATCTGCACAGTCAAACGTCTCTTCAGAGCCAACTAAAACACAAGGTAAGCATCTTTCCAGTATTCTGAGCTTCCAGTCACAATCCAGCTGACATCTGCAATGCTATCCTTTGATTGATGGCCCCTTCCAAAACCAGCCTGAATTTCTACCAGTTCTTAATGTTGATTATTTTTCATTTTTGAAAAAAAAAAAGCAACAAAAAACACCTGCTCATTCTTTTTCTTTTTTTCCCCCCAACAAAACCTTATTTGTGTTATTAACGACACTAATTTCAGCTGTTCTGTTCATAGGCGAAAAAAAAAAATTGCTCACTATTTTTCTTTTGTCCCAACAAAACCTTATTTGTATATTAATGACACGAATTTCAAGGTTCTGTTAGATTACCTCTATATGAAAAGGACACAAATAGGAATCTAATTAAGTCAGTTGGTCAAGTTTTCCAAATTTCATGGTACAGATGAGTGAGCATACTGCATCTATTGAACCATTTTAACTGGTACCCTATCAATTCTTGAGCCTTTGCTTTTTACCAATGCTTCCTGAACTTTTTCCACTGGCTCTTAATTATACCACCTCCTGAAATAGTTAATTTTAAATGTTCTTTTTGGTACGATATGCGTATTCCATTTTACTTTGAGGTTTCTTGCATTGTTCCATATTGCAATTTGAGGCATAACAGATCCACCAAATCTTTACCATACAGAGTAGAGATTCATCATACACAACCGTACCCATTATACACACACCCACAGAGTAACAGAACTTTACTAGTTGAGAGAAAAGATATAAGTAGTGATAATTAAGTGAGCAAAATTCACATGTATCATAGCACATACAAGCAACAGCAGCAGAAAACCAACCATGGAGACCTTCAGAGGAACTAGAAGTCAGTAAAAATGCTTATCTCCCAGATGGAGTTACCAGACTGAATTACAAAATTACAACTTTTTTTCTTAAATTGAGGTAAAATACAATTACCAACAGAGACAGAAATTAAACTTATTATCTACATTACAAGGCTTTGTCCAACTAGGATAAAGAAAACATTCAACTTCCCTCCACTTTAACTCTTACGCCTCACAATTATTGGTAAAGGTGGCCTTCATTTAAAAATCTCACTTCTTTAACAAGAGCTGGGGTTGGTGAGCAGATAGTTTTTGATAAACAATGCATACACAAGACACTGAGAAAACACTAAATGCTTAATAAGCATTTAAAAAAATAATAAATTTTCCATAATGGGAGTGGTCTGATACATTTAAAAATAAAGTCTTGCTCTTTCTAATACCGACTATTCTTCATGTTTACCTATACTGACGCAAAGCATCAAGGAATACAGCAGCCAAGCAAGAATGCTTTGCTTTTTAATTCCCAAGACAGATAAAATTTTAATTCATTAATACATGACCTTACTTGAGTCTTTAGTATTTTAACAAGCACTTTGCAAACTTCATGCTGTTGTATGGGAGGTTGTGCTGGAACTGATTGCAAGCCGATCTTCTGACAGTTTTTCAGAAGCCATGAATTGCACAAGAGACTGTTGGGCAATTGGTGAATTCAAGCTCATGCTTCTGGATTGGTAGTGCATTTCCTTATCCACTAGGCAAATAGCAATTTTTCTTATGTGGTAAGGAATCAGCACCAACTCATAGCTGACCATCCAGAAGCAGTAAATCACATGGGAGTTAATCTCCCATGGAGCAGCTGATGGATCCAAACCATGTGTCTTTGAGTTGGCAGTACAGCTCTTACCACTAGGCCACCAAAGCACCCTTCAAATTTTATTGATGAGAAAAAGTATTTCTGTTCTTTAACTTACTCAAAATTACCAAGATAAGATGGACACAGGACTCAAATATAGGCTACCCAATTATGCTATACTGTCTCCAAATTCAGAAAGCAAAGGGAACTAGAATCTTAGAAAAAGCAGCTACAATCAAAAAAATTAACAATGAAAATGTCAATGCTTATCAAATGCCAGAACTAAGGTGCTTGAATCTATTTTCCTTTTACTTACTTGATAAGAAAGATGTTATTTAGTTATATAGTTCTAAGTCATAGATAACTAATAAGAGGGTCTCTCGTAGGTGCCTGTAAATTGCCTCAGGATATTTCACTACAGAACTTTCTGTATGGCACTAAAATGTAGTACAATGCAGAATATTTTCAAATGAATGAGTGACTTAGCAAGTGATCAAAACACAAAGTGATGTTAGAAATCCACACTTGTGAGAGGTGAACAGGAGGAAGATGAGCAATTCCCTCCCTCTCTTGTGACTCACAACACTGGAAAAACCCACTGGAGGATCAGTTAGGAATTAGTTCTGACTCAACAGCAATGAGAGAGAATAACCAAGAGTGAGGAAAGAGAAAATGGAACCAAATAGTTTAGAATAATCACAAAATAAACAGTGAGAAAATAAATCAAGGGGGGTAAAAGATAAGAACTAATTTGAAGGAATTTATGATTCAGGAAACAAAGATTAGGAGCCATGAAAATTAAACAAGGGACAGACAGAAACCTTTGGCTGCATTTGAGAGCTACGTATGGAACCTATATTTCATGACGTTAAGAATAAAATAATGAATAAAATACTCAGTAATCATTACTTTTGTAGGCAGTTTAAGATTATAGGAAATTATAAAAAAGATGTTAACTAGAAGAAAAAAACATTTAAAATTTCTTTTTAAGATACAAAATGAATTATTAAAAAATACAATAAAAAGTCACATCATTAATTAGTATCTCCCTCACTCTTCTTTCCTTCTTAGGGAAGAAATATTACTACTATTACTATCTTTTATAACCATACCTTGTTATTAAATTCTTTTCCAAATGTAAACTTTTATAGAAAACAAAGTGTCTGCTAATCAAACATCAGCATTTATACTTTGTATATAAAATTATAAGCATAAGCACCAAATAAAATATCCTACAACAGTATCACATTGGAAAAGAAGAGAAAAACATACCTATTATGTAATATTTCATTAATTTTTTTCAATTGTTCTAAATAAAAGTATTCTGTTGACTAATCTGGCAATGTAGTTCTAGTTATTGCTTATAGTTTTTAAACTGTTTTGTAAGATATTACTTTAAGCACGTTAACTATGTTTTTTATTTATTTATTTATTTAAACACTTTGATTAAAAATAAATCCAGGCGACTAATGGCTTACTTACCATTGCCATATGGAAATGTAGAACGCGCGGAACGGCTATCATAACCAGAGGAATGCCCACTATGGAAGAGAAAATTTATTATGCAAACAGGTTCTTAATTTTAATAGTCTGGCTACAAAAAAAAGTGTCAAGGAAAAACTACCATGATTTTTAATTTATTCTTCACTTAATAAGCCCTAAGTTGGTAATTTTATTTTTTCAATACTTAAAAACACTAATAGGCTTCTTAAACTGAGAAGAAAGAAAAATTATTAAATAAACCTACCGCAGAGAATCACAATGATTCTTGGCTATGAATAAGCATGGGAGAAGGTACCATGTCCCCTTTGGGGACGCTGCTCTGCGCTGTGACGCCCTCCCAGATCACAACCTATTTACCTCATTACATAACACTCTTTTTGGTAGTATTAAAGCTTCTTTATGGCAGAAAAAGAAGTTCTGGTGATGAAGTGATTACTAGAGTACTAGTCAAGTTTCGAAGTGGGAACACAACAGCTGCTCCACAGGACAAAATTGTGACATTGTGATTCGGTAAAGATTCCAGAAAACTCTATGAAAATCCTCTGGAGCAGTTCAGCTCTGTTGTATAGGGTTTCTATGAGTTCGAATCAAGTTTTTCACCACCCCTGAATCAGTGTATCATAAATCAAGTAAAAATTAAAAGTAATTTTGCTTTCCTGGTTGTTTTGATATTACGGTATATTTTTTTCATTTTTTAGGAAAGCCAACTAGCATAGTGTACTCTCTATTTTATATGTGTTTGTTTATTCACTGCCATCAAGTTGATGAAGATATACAGATCCTATAGAATAGAGTTTTAGAACAACATGCCTCCGAAAACAGTATGAACCTTGATAAATTCAATAGTTGTAGGGAGGCTTCAGGCCTTTCGTTCACAGGGTCGCTCTGAGTCGTGCTTGACTCGAAGGCAATTAACAACAAATAACAGGATAGAGTTAACCTGGCCCAGAGGATCTTCTAAGGCTGTGCAACAGAGGGCTTTATCTTTTCCCCATAGACTGTCTAGTGGACTGTCTAGTGGACCCCAAATTCTAGCCTTTTAGTTAGCAGGCCAATCCTTCATCACTAGGACTTGAAAACAATTACCAAGTTACATCTGGTTTTTCTATCAACAGTTTATTAATAATCAAATATCAATAATACCCACATTCATTTACCTTTCTATTGTTGGTATAAGAGATGGAGGTGGAGCACCTGGTGGAGGAGGAAAACCTGAAACATTGAATCAGAGGAAAAACCACGTTAACAGAATGTACATTCAATGTCAACAAATAAAACTGCTGCATATTATTACATTTCTCTGGGAACATAAGGTGCTTCTACAAATTACAATGAACAGGGGGAAAAAATGGAGCTTAAATTTAGGAACAGTTTTTCTAGAGCTATAAAACATTACATGGACAATCTGGTCTAATACACAAGAACACAAACTGGGAGTCAGGACACTCGGTCTTATTTTCAGCACCACACACAGCCCATTTTATGAATATGAGAACATTAATCTCAATGCCTTACCTTTTCCATATATAAAATATTAATAGAGTTGTCACCAAATTATTATACTTGAAAAGAAAATAAACTATTATTTACCTCTTTAAAAAATTATTTTGAATTTTAGATAGCCAGAAATTTCCTTAAAATGTATCATTTATAATTAAAATCTTACCAGTATATATGTAACTGCATAAGGCTGAGAACATCCATCACAAAATATTTTAAATAGCATAACCCCAAAGAGTTTTATAAAGAAAGGCACACAGAGTAGTTCTAGAATTAGCTTAGAAAGAAAATTAATTTGCACCTTTATATCATGAGGTCTGCAGTCTCAAAAATTCACAACTCCTGATGGAAAACCTACAGTAATAGAGCTAAATGGATCTTAACAGTTTATCTCCTCTACGCTTTCACAGGCACGTAGGCAAAAAAGAACCCCATCAAAAGCCTTTTAAGACCTCTAGGTATGGAATTTCATAACTTAGGATATGAATTCCATCCACATTTTAAAACTCTAACTAGTAAAAACTGTACTATATATAATTTTGATTAAACTTCACACTATAGTTAACATGCTGTCATCAGTGAAGACAAGAAGCATTCTCCTCTAAACTTTTATGTATTTGAAAACACTTTCCTTAAACTTCCTTTTTAGCATTCTATGTAAAAAAGTAATCCTCGTTTTCTCAGTCTTTCTCATAGTCCACATAAATCTCCTTTTTTAGCCCTGCTTTAAGTGTTTCTGGTTCACCAGGTTCACTTTCACTTTATCTAGTTTCAGGAGCTATAACTTCTCTAGTCAACATCTTTACAAGTGCAAAGTTACCACATTACCACATTAGCCCTACACCACACAATCCTGTTTTACTAAGTCTCACAAGCACACTGCTCTTAAAACTAAAAGGACACATTGATGATTTCATTTTATGACTTTTCCTGATTAAGTCTTTCCCAGATACATTCATACACAAATCAGTAGTGACTTTTTATCCCACACCTAAACTTTATCTCACTACTTCAGTTTATTAAAAACACTTAAAATTGAGGCTCATTCTTTAAAAAATATATATATATATCTTGTGGGTTTCCTATCACATTATTAAAAAACAACTGACTTTAAAAATGTAAAAGGAAAAACACTAAATCAGGTATACACCACTCTGGCTGACCCTACCCTTATACCAGCAAGGACTATCTCACTTAACCATCACTCTAGTATAATCAGTCACCACTGTGAACTTTTTGTGAATCCATCTGAGTATTTATTGTACCGCTCAGAACATATGTTCTGACCATACTACTCAGTTATACCAGCAGGGTTAAAATCAGAAACCATGATAAGGTCAAAAGAAATCTTCTCTTGTCTTGTATTTTATGATATGAGAAAGTCTTTTTTTTTTTTTTAATAGCTATACTATACTCTTAATCTTCAAAACTGATGAGGCAAGAATTTTCTCAGAATCTCTATTTCTACTGAAATGAGTAAGATAGGCATAAGAAAACCAAATGTCTTAATCAAAACTGGAATGAAGCAAAGGCAGAGCTGAAAATAGGACCTTGAAATCCCAATAGCCTATTCCATATTCTAACTGCATCAACACTTACTTGTCTCTCCTGTAACTAGAAGCTTGAAATTTCATGTTTATTAACAATGATGGAAAAAACATGAAAAAAGTTTTACCTGGAGGTGGTACAGTTATTGGAATACCTAAAAAACAAGTGATGAAATTTAATATAGTAACTGGATTTCATAACCTGTTATGTATTTATGCCATCACCAAAACGAACGTTGAAATACAAACCCCTGGCCTATTCACTCACAACAATCACTGTTTTCTTTCAGAGGATCAACAATGCCAGTATAACATCTGCCTTTCCTGATAAAGACAACTTGATAACAGTTTTCCCTACTAGTTATATTCACAGAAAAGGTTACAAAATAGTTAAAAAGTATACTTGTGCGCACACAAATATCAAACTCTATTAAATTAATACTACACCTCAATCTGATAACCAATGTTAATATCATGACTCCTGAAAAGATGTGTTTTAACATTTTAATAGGTAAAATGATCAATGAGCTCTTTAATACAGGCAGAGCAAGATAACTGACACTGTTTGCTATCATACACTTTTGAAAAGCTCAATAAATTGAGACACTAAAGTTAATTTGGAATATTTCACTAGGGTCTATAGGGAGCTCTGGTGGTCTAGTGTTAAGAAGCTGCCTTGCGATCCTAAAGGCATGTAGTTCAAATTCGCCACTACTCTGCAGTAGATAGATGGGCAATCAACTCCCTTGCAACTAAATGCTTCTTAAAACTTGCTGGAGGGTCAGCTATGAGTCGATTCTGACTCAGCAGCACACAACACACCACCACCACCACCACCAGAGTCCACAGAAGTAAGGGAAAGTTAATTATTCCCTTATTTGTGAAATGCAAAAAGCTGCATATGTCTTTGTGAAATATAAAGAGATGTATATGGCAATTAATACACAGACACCTCTATAAAACATTAAGATAAATTTAGTTCTACAAGTGTCAAAAGGAGAATTGATGCCTTTGAGCTGTGGTGCTTGAGAAGAGTATTGAATGTACCATGCACTGCCAAGAAAACAAACAGATTCATCGTAGAGAGGATTAAACCAGGCTGCTACTTGGAGGCAAGGATTCTGGGGCTTCCTCTGACATACTTTGGACATGTTGTAAGGAGAGACATGTCTTTGGAGAGGGACATCATGCTGTAGAGTAGAGGGACAGCGCAGGAGGGGAAAACCCTCTATGAGGTGGATTGATTCAGCGACTGGGGTAATCGGGATGGGTGTGTCAGAGGCAATGAGATTGGCACAGGATAGAGCACGGTTTAGGGCTGTTGTACATAGGGTCGCTATGAGTCACAAACGACCCGATGGCACATAACAACAACAACAAGTGTTGGTGGATGCTAATTTATGTAACTCTCTATTCACTGTCTACCTATATTTCAACCTTAAACTATGTGTAAACATTCATCGTGGTCAAATGTCCCCTAATCCCTAATTTTATTGGTATTTATTAAATATTAAAATTGAGCTCAGAATTTCAAATGTTAAGAGATGAACTAGAAAAAAATTTAAGAAAACATTTTCTTTTGAGTAGTTTTAAATCATAAATAGTAACTTCAACCCAGACTAGTTTACTAAATCTTAAAATGGCATAAAAATGTTTCAAAAAATAATTTAAAAAAAATTCATTAAAACTAATGCCAAAAAAACCCTTAAAATTTTTTGGTCCACACATTTACTAAAAAGTTTTCCAATGTACAATTTATTAGAATACGAGGTTAGGAGGTTTAATATAAAAATATGCTGAGGCAACAAACGGCCTTAAAATACAGACTGTGGTATCTTTCTTAAGACCCATGCAATAAAGAATATATGCTAAAATTATAAAATCAGCTAAAAAAAAGATATGCAAAACACCCATCATGTTTCAAAAATCATCTGGCCTCCATACCAGTCTACCAAACTGGCCCACAGTTAATAGCAACTCTCATCTACTCTGGGATTACCTAGCTACTTCCAAAGTCACTAAGCTCAAAGAATCCAGCAAACAATACAAGCTAGCAAAGTCCCATAGACAAACTAAACAAGAAAGAGAAGAAAGGCAGAGAGAATTAAGTGCTCTTATTATCTATTACTAATTTTCTTTAGTAAAGATTATTTTCAGAATACTATTGAACTCCACTATCTGAACTAGTTTTCACATTGAGATAAATTAATTTTGAAAAGCAGAGCAGCACATGGAAATCAATCGCCTATCTAATATCATATTCCTAAAATACTATGCCTATGAAGGATATGCAAACAAGCAGCATGCATCATAACTGTTAATGATTCACTACAGTTTACTAAAATGTGAATTCATGCAGAATAATTAGTTCCCCCTCGAAATTTAATTTTCAAAAACCATATGAAACTTTCATAAAACAAAAAAAAATATTACATGCACTATAAGGTAGTCAAAACTAGTTCATCTTTAATATCAGTCTTACTATGGTTGTTATCACAGGACAGGTTAGGAACACACACACACACACACATATATATATACAAAACCACCTGAGAGGAATTAAGATCAGAGTCAAAGGGAAATCATGTTCTACAGGTGTCTGTCCAATTGACATGTATACATCAAAAGGTTGATATAAAAAGTAGAAATGACCATTCATTTGAGAATTCTACTTCAACCAAGATATGATTTCAGTACACTTCTTTATTAGTAAATAAATGTTCACTTAAACAGGACTATGAAGATTATGCAATGATATAGAACTAAAGTAGTCGACAATGATCAGATGTATTTTAAATTGCAATTGAAGACATTAAGACACAATAAATGCCAAAATATCATTCTCATCTAAAAATCGCTTTTAAATATTTTACTTTGTTTAAAAAAAGAGAAATGGTACGAGAATGAGAGAATTCATCCAAAATTTCCTGTTAACTAACCTCACACCCTTCCCTAGCCTGAAAACATGTAATTTTGGTCAAACAACAGACTTGAAATACATCATGCCAAGTATTACATTTCTTTTCAATTTCATATCTGTAAAACAAGTATGAAAATCCACACCCCCCCCTTGAAAGTCGTATGTAACAGTACAAAGATTTTTAGTCTTGACTAAATCTTTCGGGAAATTAATATTCAAGTTTTAAGAGACCTAAATAAATATGATAGTTCCACAACTTTTGAGTGCATCAGAAACACCTAGAGAGTTTGATGGTATACACAGACTTCTGGGCCATACCACGAAAATTATTAACTTGATGAATTTGAGAGAGGGAGTGGCGGGAGTGCTTGATAACTTCCATGCCCAACAAGTTTCTAGGAGACAGTGTCATGTTGTTGGCCTAGGGTCACTGTCTGAGAACGAAGCTTTTCTCCTAATTGTACTATGGCACAACCTAGTACAGGTGAAAAGAAATTCCATCCCCTAATTTTAACAAAATAAATGTACATGTGACACTTAAAACAGCATAGTTACAGAACAGCCTAACCAGTTCTAATAGTAGCGGCAGCTCTGGTACAGTGTGTGTTATGCGGTGTCAAAACGTCAGTGGTTCAAATCCACCATGTACTTCAAGGGAGAAAGATGGGCAGTCTCTTTTCAGATTTACAGCCCTGGCAAGCTGATGGAGGGTTGCTAATACATGGAATCGACTCAATCAGAGAGGATGGTAGCATATGGCAGCCAATATTAGTTGGCATTCTCAAAAGAGATTAGAACTTATAATGTTATACTTTTAATGTAAAGAGTGCTGGTGAGGAACTTGAAATTAAAGAACTCAGGCAGGAAATTATAAAGGCAGTAGTCCTGTTAAAATAGAATTCTCTCTCTCACACACACACACCAAAAAAAAAAAAAAAAATTAAAAACAGAATGAAAATCATCTGAATTCACCTGCAAAGTATTTCATCATTATTCGGTAAAGTTATGTGACAGCAGTTTCTGGCAAGGCTCTCATTGGCCTTTGCCTCCCTGCCTACTATACCTTGGGTTTCATGTCCTCCTTCAAATTTGAGGGGCTAGATTTAGTGATTTGTTTCTACAAACAAATTACAGCAAAAATGATGGATGTCTCTTCTGTGATTAGACTACAGAAGTCAATGACTTCTATTTTGTTAGCACTCTCTATTGCTTTCTGGTCAACAGCCAGAGAGAAAATAAAATACTTTAGTTCAACAGTCCAAAGACATGTACCCTTCAAATGTACAGGTGAAGTGAGCTTGGAGGTGACTCTTCTCAGTCAAGCCTTTGAGATGACTGTGAGGTCTATGACACTTGAAGGAAAGAAGCCAGCTAAATACTGCCAATTTCTTGACAAAAAGAGACCACTAGATAATAAATAGAAGTTGTTTTAAGTCACTATAATTTGGAGTAATTATTAAGTAAAAACAAGTACATGACCTATTACTTTGTTCAATTAAAAAGGGGGAGGAGGAACCCATGACAAGGATTATGTGAATTAGGCTTCCAATTATTCCATTCTAACTTCCAAATTTCATTAGCACTATTTACATTTAGGATTATTAACACTTAGTCACTTTTCCTAGAGACTTCTAAAATAATCTGCTACCTTCTCATTAGAAAAAATTATAAGAGAATACAGTAAAACTCATGCTTAATGATTAAAGTAAGATGGCTAAATATTATTCTTCCTTCATTTTAATAAAAGTTAAAGTGCAAATGGGAAAAATGTGTTATGTTGTCAGGATAGAATTGAACCTAAAGGGTGAAAGAAAGAACCTTACCTAAAACTACAACATGGAGAAATTCTTTTGTCTTTATTACAATCTCTAAATGACTCTAAGACCTACACAGAAATAAAAAGTTCTCTTACATAATTGAAAACAACTGATGAAAACATCAATGGTTTTAACAAATATGTAAAAAGGGTGATTCTATTGGATCATATAGAATCATAAATGAATGGGAGGAAGAGTAATGAAAACAAAAGTCAGACATTGTACTTTAAAAAATTTCAGAATCATCTCAGGAACAGGTTTGAGGC